TTTACCTTTTCTCCTTGGGGAACCAATCTATGGGGGAGATGGGGGGGGGACACGTGACACACTTTCCCCGGCTCCTTCACCTTCCCTTTCTCCTTCAGGGTAGTTACAACAGCTCTTGAGAATTTTGAATATCCTTGGGATGTTCAAACCAACATGGTCCTATTGCTATGTCTCCTGAATGTGGTTCAGGTCTTGTTTAAGGTTAAACAATTATTTAAGAATATCATCCAGAGATCAACCCCCACGACAGGCACTGCGGCTACTCAAACCCCGGCAACAGGCACTGCTGCTGAACCAGAGAACCAACCCGTGTCGGTATCAGTTGCCCCTATACACAAGAAGAAATACACAAGAAAATCAACTCATTTAGTAAGGGATGAATATGAACCAGGGCCATCATGAGAACAGGAGAAGGAAGAGGCAGAACCCATAAATGAGATGGTAACCACCTGATCCCTATCCCTGAGTGAGCTGCAAGATATGCGAAAAGATTTCAGTCATTGTCCAGGAGAGCATGTTGTCACCTGACTGCTCTGATGCTGGGTTAACAGGGCCAGTAGCCTGGAATTAGACAGTAGGGAAGCCAAGCAGCTGGGATCCCTTTCTAGGGAAAGGGGCATTGACTAAGTGATTGGAAAAGGGACACAAGCCCTCAGCCTCTGGAGGCAACTCCTGTGAAGGAAAGATATCCCTTCGAGGAAGATGTTGTATGTCACCCAGGCAAGTGGACCACCATGGAGAGAGGTATCCAGTACCTGAGGGAATCTGCTTGGAAACTGGCGGGTAGTGAGCAATTGCATTGTGCATCACTTGTTTTGTATATTCTTTTATCATTATTATTATTATTTTCCCTTCCTTTTCTGCCCTATTGAACTGTCTTTATCTCAACCCATGAATTTTACTTTTTTCTTCCCAATTATCTCCCCCATCCCACTGGGGAGGGGGGGAGTGAGCGAACGGCTGTGTGGTGTTTAGCTGCCTGCTGGGTTAAACCACAACATCTTCTGTTGACAGGGGGAGAGTAGTGGATGTTGTTTACCTGGATTTCAGTAAAGCATTTGACACTGATTTCCACAGCCTTCTCCAGGACAAACTGGCAAGGTACAGATTGGGTGGGTGGTCTGCGAGATGGGTAGGGAATTGGCTAACAGGCCACACTCAGAAGGTGGTGATCAATGGTTTTTACTCAGTTTGGCAGCCTGTCACAAGTGGGATCCCCCAGGGATCAATATGGGGCCCCACGCTGTTCCACATCTTCATAAATGATCTGGATGATGGGATTGAAAGCACTCTCACAAGTTTGCTGATGGCACCAAACTGGGTGGTGAGATGAACATGTCAGCAGGGAGAGCCATCTTACAGAGAGACCTGGACAGGCTGGAAAAGTGGGCTAGCAAGAAGTGTATGAAGTTTAATGAAGACAAGTGCAAGGTCCTGCACCTGGGAAGGAATAACCAAAGAGCCCAGTACCGGCTAGGATCTGTGTGACTGAGTAGCAGCTTTGCTGAAAGGGACCTGAGGGTCCTGGTGGACAACAAGGTGACCATGAGTCAGCAGTGCACTGCTTCAGCAACAAAGGCAAATCAGTTCCTGGGCTGTATGTGCAGGGGCATTTCTAGCAGAGAGAGAGATGCGATCATCCCATTCTACTCAACACTTGTCAGGCTGCACCTGGAGTACTGCATCCATTCTTGTCCCCACCATTGAAGAAAGATGCAGACAGACTGGAGAGGGTCCAAAGGAGGGCCATGAAGATAATCAAAGGGCTGGAGAACGTGCTCTATGAGGAAAGGCTGAAGGTGTTAGTCCCTGAAGAAGGGAAGGCTCAGGGGGGACCTCATCACAGTATTCCAGTACTTAAAGGGTGGCTACAAAGAGGACGGAGGCTCTCTCTTCACAAGGAGCCACATGGAGAGGACAAGGGGCAATGGGTAGAGGTTTCATCTTGACGTAAGAAAGAATTTTTTTTACAGTAAGAACAAACATTCACTGGAACAACCTCCCCAGGGATGTGATGGAGTCCCCATCACTGGAAGTTTTCAAGATGTGACTGGACAGGGTGCTAGATAATCCCAGCTCAGATCCCTTTCCCATGAAAGGTTGGACCAGATGATCTT